GGAAGGAAGGAAGGAAGGAAGGAAGGAAGGAAGGAAGGAAGGAAGGAAGGAAATTTTCTACCAGCTTCCCATTAGCAAAGTCAACCGGGAAGCTGGCACCAAGTCGTAAGTCGCTCACACTTCCACTGCTTTTTTGCCTTTGCTCAATCTGTTCCTCTGTTTAGGTAAGGAAATATCTTTGAAACAATGACCCAATAGGTCACTGGTTGTCTAGTTGATCCTATATTCTGACCATATGTTCTCCAAGTCATCCCTTCCTGGCCCTCCTATTCTTCAAGTTATGGCAATTTAGTTATTACAATGTAGTATAATTAAAGTCAACCGGCAGATAATTGCCTCGTTAAAAAGCTGATCAGGGCAATAATCAAACAGCTTCTTCCACAGTCATTCAAAAAATATTTACTGTGTTATTGGAGTAAGACATTATTAAGAAAATTTTAGTTTCAGGTAAATGTACAGTGATATTGTGTGCTGCTCAGTGAGCCTAAAACAACCTTTATGCATTTTATGGAATTTATTTCCCAGTTTTCCATTAAAAGATGTCAGTCAAGTTAGCTATCAGAATTAAAACCACAATGGAATTAAAGTACACTTACAAGCAAAACCATAAATCAAAGATACTACCTCTTCAGGCATGACAGTGAAAAGGTAATTCAAGATGTTGTGATTTTATTTCCCCACAAACATGCAAGAGCCATAATCACAGAGACATTTTCAAGAAATAAAGTCCCAAGGCACAAACTGTGATTCTCTTGGAATCCTAGTGAGTATCTGCATTCAAAGACTGGATACAACTGAGACCTGACAAAATGAGGATTCAAGTCTTAAGTGCCACAAGCTCTGCATTCAAAGACTGGATACAACTGAGACCTGACAAAATGAGGATTCAAGTCTTAAGTGCCACAAGCTCCTTAGGGAAAAATGGTATAAGAATATGTGAGAAAAATGAATCTTTGGGTGAAAAAGACAAGTTTTTAGAGGCCTCAGATGAATGGGATCGCCTTAATAAGTTTGAAAT